ACGCCAGGTAGCAAATGGTAGACGCCAGGTAGCAAATGGTAGACGCCAGGTAGCAAATGGTAGACGCCAGGTAGCGAATGGTAGACGCCAGGTAGCGAATGGTAGACGCCAGGTAGCGAATGGTAGACACCAGGTAGCGAATGGTAGACACCAGGTAGCAAATGGTATACGCCAGGTAGAAACTGGTAGAAGCCAGATAGCAAAAGGTAAACTGCGTAGTGGTAAAGTGTAAAGTGATCCAGAGCTATTTGTACCTTTTACAAGCTTTTTTTTTTATACTCTACTTGTGAGTTGGTTGATTAAAATATATATACAGTACAGTTTGTGTGCTCTATTGCACTATGAATGTACCTCAGAGTGTTTTTATTACAAACATATTCTCTCGGTGTGGGTCGTTGTTTCTTGTGCCTGGAATATTTTAAAGTCTACGACATCTATCTTGTCGAAACTTTTACAGTGCAGTTGACTTTTCATTGATCTTTACCCTACATGCTTGTGATACATTGTGCTCACAATAAAATGACCTAATGGTACCGTTTAATATTTTTATTTTGTTTCCAAAGTGACTCCAATGTGTATTTATAGCTCAGACCCTTTATCTGCTAAATGATAGGGGTTAAAGATAAGACAGTAGGTGTGTCTGAGGTCAGTAATCCACTTTGTGCATTGCTCAGCGGTGCTGTTAAATGTCTTTATTGGACTTCATTGGACTTGTGGAACAGCTTGACGTCATTTCCAAGAAACATCATAAATGTTCTCTGGGTCACGCCATTGGTTGTTGAAAGTAGTTCAGTTAAGTGTTTCTGCCTACCAAAAGGCTTGTAATGAGAGTTATACAGGTGTAAAAGCTTGTATGTGGCCTCCTGTTTGGCCGGCTTTCAGGTGTGTCTACCTGTGGGACCAGCTCGCTCTGCCTGCTCTGTTTGTCCCAGGTGGGCGGGTCGGATGTGCTGTCACAGGCAGGTTAAGTCGGCACACACCTGCCGCCCGGCAGTAGCTGCTGAAGCGCCGCAGCTGACACAGTCTTCTGTTGTTTCTGCCAAGAACTC